TTTTAAAGATATTTTAAATTTAAAAAAAAATTAAAAAGTAACTTTAATTAAAAAATTGAATATAATGATAATATTTAAAAAAATTTTAATCTTTAAAACATAATTTTTTTAAAATTAATCAAAACTAATTAGGACTAATTAGAACTTTTACCAATCCTACACGTAAAAGAAAAAAGTAATTGTTTTTCAAAGTTGATTCCTTTATTTATTACTTGAAACTCACAAGTATTTAAAAACTTACAAGAGAGTTATAAAGACTTGCAAAAAAGTTATTTTACAACTTAAGCAAAAATTTATTTTATTATACAAAATTAATTTGTTACAGCTAACTAATTATTATGCTATCCCTTAAACCATCTGTTTTAGCGGACAAATTTGTCCGCTAAAATAATTAGAAAAAATTAGACGCAAAAACAATTTTTTTATATTGAATCGTAGCTTAAAATTGACCTGGATACCCCTAAAATGTCAGGTTATATGATACTAATAAAATCACGTTATATCGTACGTCATGTAATCTAAGCAAACTACAAAAGTTCGAACTATATGAAATTTGCTATACTTCAGCCGCAAGGATATCCTAAATAACTGAACTTTTCAAATCGTCTAAAAATTTTATTTTAACTACTTTATATCTGAATAAAAAAAGCTACTATATAACAGGGATACGCATCTATAATAAAATTTTATGTTATGAATTAATTAAACTATTAAAGATTAACTTTAGCATATTTACATCAATAAATTCTCAATGTCCAAATGAGAGTGTAACTCTGTTATTTATTTATTTTATTTATTATTATCATTTTTTGTATGAAAACTGACAAAACAATTACGATTGATATTACAACAAAGAGATATATTGCATATTACACACTAAAGCTGACTTTTATTTGGTGATTTACGATCCAAATTCAAATTTTTTTTGCTTACCAACCAAGTGCACCATTGACACAATTCTCATCGCTTCCTTCATTCAGCAAAATGGTTTTCAAGTACAAACTGTTGGTTTGAAAACTCGAAATTTTTCGTCACCTTTGGTTTAGTTTCTTTTTTCGGTTCTTCTCTTATTTCTTTTTTTAAATAATTTCTTAGCTGAACTTCTTTTGTATCATTCGTAAGTTTAATAAGATCCCAAACAAGTTCATAGTGGAATTCCTTTTGCTCTTGTGCTGATCTTAATGTTTGGGCGATTCGATAGGCATTAACAATTGTGATATCTAGCAACCAAAAAAAAGAGCATCCAATTCCTTCGTACCGTTTGTTGTGTATTGTAGTAGGATTTCAATTGATCAGCAACATCTACGCCATTCATATTGTGATTGTAATTATCGATTACCTTGAGGATTAATAACTTCTTTTTTGATTCAGAGCCAAATACTGCATGTATCTTAAGAATAAAAGAAAGAAAGAAAGAAGGAAGAATAAAAGAAGAAAAGTGAGAAAAGGAGGAAGGATAGAAGGAAATGAAGGAAATGAAAGAAAAGAAGGGAAGAAATAAGAGAAAGAGAAGGAATAAGGGAAAAAAAAGAGAAGGCGGGAAGAAAGAAGGGAAAAAAATGAGAGGGATGAAAGAAAAAAAGGAGAAAAAATGGAAAGGAGGGAGAAAGAAGGTAAAAAGAAAGCAGAAAAGAAGGCAGAAGGAAAGGAAGAAAAGAAAAAGAAAAACGAGAAGGAAAAAAAGAATAAATTAATTTAATAAGAATTAAACAAAAAAAAAGAATATATGAAGTAAATCGTGAAAGGCATATATCTTTGCCGCATTGGTACTCGTTTTCCTTAGTCGTCGTCTTTCTTATTCTACTTCCCATTCTTCACTAACAAGATCATGAATTGTTGATAATATCGTTACCGGTCTATTATCTTACCAAAAAATGGCTAATACTCCATTTATTGCAATACCAGAACGAACGTTTCAATCAAGTTTGACATTTTTATTTACCTTTAATTCTTTGGGAAACCCGAAAGCTGTTTTTCGAACAGTTTCACAAGCACCAATGCCTATTTGTCAAAGATACTGAAAAAGAGTGACATTAGAGAAATAATTGTTCATGTATACATTGTATGAAAATCGCTGATACGAAAGTTGCGTAATAAGGTAATGAATAAGACATCCAGTTTGATTAAGACTATTTACTCTTTCTACATTATTTGGCGATACACGCAAAGTAGGCAAGAAAGTGTATGTGTATCCAAACTCACATAGAGATAAAATCTTAAAGCCTTTCGGAGTTGGTTTGTTCTTTATTCTAACAGTATAAATGCTTCTCCCAGAAAACCTTACCATCACTTCATCTACTGAAACATTTGAATTTGTGTGTATATTGTTTTTAAACATCACGAATTTTTGAAAGAAGGTTCCAGTTTATCGAAATAATTGTTAATCGTGGCTGTAGGAGAAGAGATATATAAATATCTCTTGATTTGTTCAAACCGCTTTAATGACATTTGTTTGGAAATATAGTGGATAGGAAACTTTGAATCTTCATTCCAATATTGATTAAGTAAGGGTAATTTAAAAAGTTCTTGATAGATAACCAGAGCTATCCAGATAATAAGCTCTTTACGATCGATATTTTGCCATTTTCTACCAACAGCACCAGCGTTCTTTGTTAATGCATACAAAATTTGCATTAACAACTATTGTATCTAATATAGATTTTGGAAAAAAAATAAGAAAAAGGTTGATAGGTTTGAAAAAATCGGCTTCATAACTTGATGGCAAATTAATAAATGCTCAGTGTAATGATTTTGGATGAATAAAATATTCAAAGTTAGGAGGTGGTGGTAATTGTACAGTTTTTGCTAGTCTGCCTCTACCCTTACGAGCAATTTTTGTGTCCTCTTTTTTGTCTTCCTCAAAATCTGATTCAACTAAATGTTGCTGAGATGTCAAAAGTGGTATATATTCTTCCTCTTCATCAAAATGTTCTTCAAGAGGAAATGAAATTAGGGCCAGAACACTTAGTCCTGCTGCAGAAGACATGGTATTAAAAAAAAGATTAAATTTGATGATTGATCGGTAAGGTGATACTGTGAAAGATTTTAGATTATCATAAAAAAAAGATTAAATTTGATGATCGATCGACAAGGTGATACACTTTTATTATTACTTAGGAAGGGGGGAGATATTATTAAGAAAATCACATGTGGTTATACAAATGCTGATCAAAACCAATTTCAGCAGGCAAATTTGCCCGCTGGACGGTTTAAGGGATAAACTAACTAAATTTGTAACTACAAGTGCTAAAGTAATGATAATAATAATTATAACAGAAATAATAACAATAATAATGCAAATAATGAAAATAAACGTTATAACAATTATTCAGCTTATAAGGCTTATCAGGTGGATCCAATTAATCAGATAAATCCTAAGAATTTTATGGATCCAGAATTATGTAAATCTTTTAATTTGTGATCGACATAAAATTAATTCCAGTAACTTCTGTAGATCACTTGATAATTCTTTGTAAATCAACTTTTCAATAATGAATTTTTAGCTGGTAATAACAGTAGAACCCTTCATTATTGTTATAAAAAGAATATTGTGATTTAGTAAGCAAAGTTTTATACAACAGCTTTTTTGTTATTATTATTAGAAAATTTTATTCATGTGAATATGTAACTTATCTAGATCACAGCCAATCCTCTAAAATGACATCACTGATCAACTAATCACATAATTGAACATAGCTTTAGATAACCCTTAATTCAATATAACAATATTTTTCTATATTTAAAAATCTGTATCACACTGAAGATCTGTTATATTATAAAATTTATTATATCAAATTTGTTATAAAAAGAGTTGATTGTATTATTATCTTATGATGCTAACAACTGAAAATTAGTATTAATATAAGATTAACAAAGGATTTAGCTTTATAATTTATCAGACAAGCTTTATGTAAAGCTCTAAAGATTAATATAGTTAAAAGCACAGTTTGAAAATAAAATGTAATTATTAATTAAACAATTAGAATTTTATTAAGAAAAGAATTTGTTATATATATTTGTTTTTAATACAATTATATTTAATAGTATCTTATTATTGATAAGATTAAGTAAATTTTTATTGTTAAAATCCTTGTTATTAACTAAATTTTAAAGCTATCTATTTATAAGAAATTTGATATATAAAAATAATAAATATAAAAATAAATAAGAAAATAAATTTTGGCATATCTGTCATTTTTTATGTATCTGGTATTTATGATATATCAGGCAGATTTAACATATTTTGCATATCTGTTAAAATCAGCAGATTTGGCATATTATATGGTAAAGTAAAAATTATATGATCTATTATATCAGGTAATTTTTAATTACTTATTATAATATTATTAAAATTTTATTTGTATAATTATTTTATTTAATTTAATAATATTAATAATAAAAATTAATAAAAATCTGATAAGTAAAAAAAGTTTTATTTAAAATTAACTTAAAATTTATTTAATAAGATAATTAAATTAAAAAATATTTTATTTTTAAAAGATTTATAAAAAAAATAAAAAATTAATATTTTTATTAAATAATTTTTATATTTTAAAGTTATAATTTATTTAGCTTTATTATTAAATTAATTTATTAAAAAAATATATTTATTAATAAAGATCTAAAAAAAAATAGATCCTTTTTTTAATGATAAGTAATTTATCAAATATTATTTATTTATTATAGTTAAAAAATATATAGATATTAGTAATTTAGTAAAAACATGTGAATGATTAACTATTTATTAATAATACAACACAATGCTAGGTAAAAAAATTAGGATTTTAAATGATTAGGAAATGTTATTTGAATCATAACTTGAATTTATTTGAAAACAAATGTTTAATAGAAACATTTATTAATTTAAATACATTCAATAAATATACAGTTTTTCAAAATTAATTTAATTGTCACATTGGGTTTAAATAATCGCATCACAAAAAAAAAAAAAAAATTTAAAAGAAACGAATCCCACGAAAATAACCTTTTTTTTGAATTTTCTATGAGACCTCTTTTTGATCAATATGCATACTATCATCTACCAGAGTTTTATCTCCATCAAGCTCTTGACCTGGAACCACTTCACCTTGTGTTGTATCAATAATTCCTGGCTCAATTGAAAGAATATCTGCATCGCCGCAAATTTGTAAAACTTGTTCAGCTTTTTCGACGCTCATATCACCTAACACTTTATTGATTTTAGTTATTTCGCCGGTTTTTAAAGCTTTTTGGAAATCAACGGGTAAAGTTTTAAAAAGTTGATATCTGGACTTTCCCTCTTCATCTGGAGCATTTTCGTCTGGAACACGAACATTAAGAGACATGTTGGGATCCGTCACCTCGATTTGAATTTGTTCTACTTGCTTAGCAGGTTGAGGTTTCTGAGTTTTTTCTGCTGCCATAATTTGACAACGTTCACGAATACGATCATATGTATCATTCACATCTTTCATGAAAACATCACGTGCTTGCGGATTCGAAGCAGTTATCCTGAGAAAAATTTTTATATTGACAAATAAATCATTATAAAAAATAAATTAAGTAATTATAATTAAAATAATTAATTTACCTCCGGAAGAAAAGCGTAACACCATCTTTTCCAAGTTTTTGACAATATTGTAATAGCCATGCTTGATGTACAGACTGTTTTGCATACTTGGCTTTTCCTTTCAATTGAGATTGGAATGCTTCCGCTAAAATTTGGTCAACTATCTCTTGGGATACCACTTCAGGATGTTTTGTGATAAACTTGAAACTTTCATTGTAATCTGTTATGGCTGCAAATTCTTTTGCGAGATCTGAAGTCAAAGCTTCATCATCATCATCATCATCCTCATCCTCATCCTCATCACCATCACCATCATCACCATCATCATCATCATCAACAGCAGCTTCCTATAAAAAAAAATATATTTATTAAGATTCATATGAGACAGAACGTGATAAATTTACCTTTTCAGTATCAAGTGATTTCATTTGAGCCCCGGGATTCAGCACTTCAACAACCTTTTCTTTTTTCTTTTCGGTATGTTTAGATTTTGGTTTTGGAGGTTCAAGTTTCGGGACTTTGCTGACAGACTAATGAATTATAAATTAAATATAAATACAAAATTTTGATAAATTAAACATTTAAGTGATTACTCACCGACTTATCGAACCCAGTGTGAATATCATCCATGGTAATTTTCTTTTTAGCATCTCTTTCTTCTCTATCCAATTCTTGTTTAGCTTCTTTTTGTCTTTTACTTAATTTTTCACGATGTTGAGTTAATTTATCTATTAATCCTTCACCAACTTTTTCTGGACTTTCATATTTAACTTCTTCTTGAATTTTTTCAAATAAAACACTCATCATTTGATCAAAAGTTGGATAAGCAAGTTGTTCACCTTCACTTTCTTGTGGTGGAACATTTTCTAAAGGTTCTTTATTTTTTGCTTCCATTGCTATTTTTTTATTCGTCTCACGTAAATTTTCAATTGTTTGCAAAAAAGTTTCAACACCGCCTTCCTGTAATTGTTTTATCATATCGTTCATACGACCAAGTAATACCTCATTATTCGAGGTTTCAAGTTTAAGAGCTTCAATTTTTCTACGTCTATCCTCGCGTTTTTGATGAATATCCGCTTGTTTCCATCGAATAAATGAAGCTTTATCTACGTTCGGGTGACATTCAAAGTCGTCGTCATCACTAAGTTCAAGTTTATCCCACTTACTATAGTCAATAGGCATTTTTTTTTTTTTTTGTTATGTAATTTTTACAAGATTGGGAGGAATCTACTTTTTTTTTAATTAATTATTGATGAATTGTTAGAAAAGGTTTGGAGTTTTTCCTCTAAAAATGAATCATTTTTATTTTTTAATAGGAATTTCAATTCCGAGTTTTATGAATCTGGAAACATCCAGAAAGAAAACTTCGTGTGAAATTACACGTTACCATGTTACACAACCTGTATTTCACAGATCTGAGAAGGTTGACAGAATAATATGATTTGAAATAAAACAAAGTTTCATTTCACGTGATCTTGGCCGGCATTACGGTATCAAGGAATTAATATAACAAAAAATTGGCAAATACTTATTTATTAGATTACATAAAAAGTGAAAAAGGACAAAATTGAATTTTTTTTCAAAAATTTATTTCTAAGTAAAATAGATATAACTTTTATTGTTTAATCCAGTACTTTAATTATTTTAAAAAAAGTTTTTTTTTATAACTTGATCTCTTTTTACAATATTTATCTTAAATTAGAATGATCAGAAAATCATATAGAACTTATACAACCCTTTTCTCTATTAAATATTTTTGTAAGAATCAGCTTAAATTTCAGGATTATAATTAATCATATTATAATGATATATCATATAATATTAAGAGTATTTTAGATCAATGTTATATACAAATATTATTCTAATAATTTTTAGCAGAGACAAGATATCTAAAAATTCATGTTCATTAGGATATAAACTAATATTAGATATTTTTTGGCTAGAATTAACAAGAGATATGATCAGCATTAAAGTGAACAAAAAGTTTTGAACATAAAAAAATCTCTGATATAAATACAATCAGTCTAGTCCATATCCATATTCATATCTCATAATAATATTACTTTAAGTTATATTATACACAATACTTGAACTTTTATAAATATAAGAGAAATGTAAGTTGATGAGAAACAGCCTATTATTAAACATAGATATGAAAATTAGCATTATGATACTATCAAAAAGAAAGCAAAATATAGAGTTATATTAAATCTTAGATAGTTAATAGAACTGATCTTTTACAGTTTTTATTATAAGGATTAGTTTAGAGTAAGGTTACTGGATGAAATCAAGAGTTTAGACAGACGTCTAAATGGTAAAAGTAAAACTTGGTTAAATTATATTAAA